GCTTTCTCTTCCTTTGGGGGTAGGGTGGAGATACACCAGAAATTGATAAATGGTGAGCCAACTATAAGATATATTCCAAAGTTCAATCAAAAAATTTTTGTTTTACTCATTGTGATTATGGTACATCCCATTTATTTTTTTCCTCCTCATTCCTAATAATGGAATTGGCTGTATCTTTTCTGGTATCATTGGACATTCATTTAGTGCTTCAGAAGTGTTCATCTCTCTGCACAGTTCCTATATTAATTCTGAAATATGTAAAAATAATCTTCAAAAGTAAATGGTCTCAACTGCCACTGTGCCTGGGGCAAATCCTCAGAACGCAGGCAGGTGAGTTTTCTTTACATCAGCTTGACCACATTGCTCATCCTTGACTTGAGATACTGCCTCAGGCTCTCAATCGGTAGGCTAGTCACCCCTCCTGGGGGGATTGAATTTGCACTGAAACCCTTCCATTTTTGTCTTGATTAGTAATGTCAGTTATCTTTCTCCGCTTCTCTCTGGCTCAGAATATCTGCTCTTGGAACCACATGGTTTGTGATCCCTTTCCTTAGTTTTCTCACTACATGGAAACCATTGCAGCCACATCTCAGAGAGTAGGTTAGACTCCCACACACACTACTAAGTTAAATCCAAGTTCACCATTCTTCTGTGGATTTTCTAGCTTGTACTAATAGGGCCTCAACTGGGGCATTGCTTTGTTGATATGGGTTCAATTTCTGATTCCCATTCCACCCCCACCTCCAATGACCACATAACACCAGGCTCAACATGTGTATATTATGTTCATTATATTTATGGATCAAACATTAGAACTGATATTATTGAATAACCTATTTGACTTATGTTGGATTTGATGAGGTAAAATTTTACTAAAGTCATAACCTCCAGAAAGTATTTCAAAATAAAACTGTTATACAATTGCTTTTCATATCTGGCTAGTGAGTAGGAAATGTGGCTTTAACAAAACAAGTATAGTCTTGCAAGTCTTACAAAATTTTGATTGGTCACTGCTGGCTCTTGTCTGATTACATTTCTTGAGTCATTTAGGCTATTTCCACCTACATACTAGGTGAACTAAATTAGAAAAGAATTATCCAGAAACTAAGGTACCCATTAATCTCTTTTCTTTCTTTCTTTTTGTTTAAAAGATTTATTTATTTTATTTATACAAGAACCGGGGTAGAGGCCAGATGTGTGGGAGGGTGAGAGGATTCACCAGGGACAAAGCGGGGAACAGAACAGGCAGACTGACGAAAAACACTGCTGGGGGGAGCAGCGGGTGCAACAGGAGAGATCTGCCGCACCATGTGGGACCCTGGCCGGCTGGCCGGGATTGAACCAGCGCTGCAGAGGCTGCGGACAGCTTCACAGCGCTGCGTTCAACTGCCTGCGCCACCAGGGGAGGCCCAATCAATCTCTTTTTTTGAGTTTATCAATCATAAGTACCCATTCACCTTATATGGTTGCATCTTAAAAATAGAAATATTATTGTTTAAAAAATTATATATATATACTTTTTGCATCATTGTTCATTTTTGTACAATGTTTGCTTTCTCCTCTCAGGTGTAGTCCCCATGAAAAATTAGAAACATTATTTACATTGTACTGTATTAATTGCAGATAAAGTATGTCAAACTGCTCATTGTCCAAGAATAACCCTAACTGACAAAATTTGTGGAGTAATCACAGATAATATTAAATAAGGACTTGTCCCACATTCACTTTGAATGGACTCCTAAAATCACAGATGGTATGAATTAAGGATTTCAGTTGAAATGAAATAAAAACACATGACTTTATGCACATTTTTCAAAGTGTCCTTTATTAATTGTATGGGAAATTGGAAGATGATGGGTGTTATTTGTTCAGCTTCATATTTTATATTACTATTATACCAGATCATTGATATTACCAGTATTCTATGAAGAAAAAACAAGCAGAATCACATGTGTAAATGAATAGACAGAAATCATAGCAAGAGTATGTAGAGAAAATCCAAATCAAAAATAAGTTGAAGAAAAGAAATTTGATTGTGATTTAATTTTAGGATTTTTTTGGGCAAATTGGTCTTTTTTATGGTTTCCTCCAATGTTTACTTATTGTTAATAGACTTTTAAAAATATATTCCCTCTACTGTATGGAGATTCCGCGACCTGCTAAAGATGGAGCTTCCATATGATCCAGCAGTTCTACTCCTAGGTATTTACCCAAATGACACAGAAACATTAATTCCAAAGGCATCTGCACCCCTATGTTTATAGTAGCGCTATTTACAATAGCTAAGCTATGGAAACAACCCAAATGTCCAAAGATAGATAACTAGATCAAGAAGATGTGGTACATATACACCATGGAATATTACTCAGCAATCAAAAAAGATAAACACACGCAGTTTGCAGCAACATGGATGGAGCTAGAAGGGATCATGCTCAGTGAAATAAGTCAGAAAGAAAAAGAAAAATACCAGATGGTCTCACTCATAGCAGGAATTTAGAAAACCTAAAAATCAAAATCAACAAGCAACTATAAACCAGAGACACACTACGGAGGGGAAGGGGTGGGGAGAGGAAGGATTAGGGTCAAAATAAGGGGGGATGCAATTGTATAGGGAATATAACCAAAATGAAAATGCATACATTGTGCAAAAATGAAAAATGATGTAAGAATTATATAAAATAAAATATTAAAAAATAAAATGCAAAAAAAATCCCCTCTATAGCACTCTGTTCTCTAATTATTCAAAATATGATTTCTTTTTTTTTTTGTGTCCATTCAACGGAAAATGAAAATGATGTTTCTTAAAAGAAGGTACAGACTGCATGAAGATCTATCTTTCTAACTCAGTGCACTGAAAAGAAGCAATTTCTTTATTCATGGCATCAAATTAGAAGTAAATGAGGAAAATCTGATATGATTCCAAAGTAAAAGAACTCTATTGATTCTCCAAATCTTCAGCTTTTTGTTAACACTCTTATAATTGCTGTTAAAAAAGCAATTTAGTTCTTAGAATTCTGGGAGCAAATGCCCCTGTTAGCTGAAAGGCACAGACATGGCCTCAGATGGTGACTCTATATTAGTTGAGGCAGGTGTCTGCTAGCATTCAGGTTGGCAGCCTCACTGCCAGACAAGGGGCGGCCATGTTGGCGTGCCAAGAAGGTGATTTGACATGCACAGGGCTTTTCCCTCTAGCTGCCGATTGAGTGCAAAATTGCAGGCTGTGTTTGGACCACAGAGATGCTGGTTCTCATAGCAACCTTTGCATCTTCTGTGCCGCGTACCAGCACAGCAGGGGGAGGTGCAGCATTCTGGATCCAAGTTCAGTATAAAATGTCCACATGTATGATTGAAATCTTGGGGAAGAGAAAGAAATGTTTGACAAAGTTTACATGCACGCTGCAAAGGTCAAGAGTGGCTGTGGGGCAAATGGACACAAGTGAGAGGCAACTTAGACTTCTAAGTTCAGGAATGAGAACTCCGCAGATGTGCAACAGATCTTCCTTAGATGCCTGGCACTGAGAGGACTGTTCTCGTGGCTTAGCAAAAAGGTATTAGGTGAAGCGCCGAATTGCAGGTAACTTGCAGGTAATTTAAAGAGATAAAACAAATATAAGAAAGGTTGTAGTAAAGGTTGTAAAAAATACTTAAATGATGTAGATAGATGGAATACACCACAGGCATTTAAGGAAAGAGATTAGTTAGGTGAGGTTATAGGACTAGACTTTATGGTGTGGATGGGATTTACAGAGAAGGTAGCATATAGGGCAGCTGGGCCAGCTCTATCCCTGGTTCCCCTAACCTTACTTCCCCACAGTCCAACCCCCTATCCTGCCCGCTGTTGTCAGCCCTGGCCCAGTTTCTGAGCCTCCCTGAGTGGGGGGTTTCTGAGCTTTGGTCTCTGCCAGGTTTGCACATCTCCTTTGTCACTCAGCAGGTCTAGAAAACAATGCCCTGGTGATCACTTGGGTGTTACCTTATTTTAGGGTTCACATGCTTTGTGGGTTAAATCGGGTCCCTCCCACCATTTGTCAAATATGTTGAAGGTCTAATCCTTGGTACCTGTGAATGTCACCTTATTTGGAAATAGGATCTTTGCAAATGTTATTAAGTTGACTTCATAACAACGTAGGGTAGACACTAAATCCAATGACTGATGTCCACGTAAGAGACATACAGAGATTAAAAAAAAAAAAAACCAAATCGATGTGAAGAGTCCTAAGGGGCGAAGGCCGTGTGAGCATGGAAGCAGAGACTGGGGTAGTGAAGAAGCTGCAAGCCCAGGACTGGAGCAACCAGTGGATCTACTGAAAACTGAAATAAACTGCTGAGGGGAGCAGTGGGCAAGATAGGAGAGGTCTGCTGCTGAGCCATGTGGGTTGGTAACTGTGTGGGTCAGCTCCCTGGCCGGGGATTGAGCTCATGCTGCAGTGGCTGGCAATAGTGCTGAGTCTTAACCCCTGCGCCACCAGGGAGGCCCTAGATGTCTGTTTCAAGAGCTGAGCACAGCGTCTTGTGAGGCAAGGCTCTGAAAGACAAGAGTTACCATAAATCCTTGCAAAGCACCCTGTTTAGTTCTGCATTACGCACTTGCTCTCTCTTGTGAGGTGGGGAAGAAGTTCATTTACTGTTCTATTCACAGAATCACGAAAGCGACTGATGCACATTCACCTGTATTTCCGGGCAGTCTTGTCATTTACTTATTAAAATCTTCAGAAAATTTGTAGGTTCGCACATTGCTCTCCTGAAAGGAAATTATGTTCTTCCTATCACTGGGTAAGAAGCAAAAGTCATGTTGACTTCCTGAAAAAGAGAGACAGCACAACATAGGAAAAAAAGGAAATAAAAACTGATGAACATGTACATGTGATTAGCTGATCTTGAAATATTTGCCACACTTTATTCGTTTCACCAATTATCAAAAAATGGGAAGGTGTCTTAGGAGTTGAAATATTGTTGTTGAAAATGAAAATATCAGAGTCCGCGGGAAGGGGCGGGGCTGAGAGGCGCGCGCGGCGCTTCCCGCTGTGGCTGCTGAGGCTGCCGTGGCTGCTCTCGGCATGGAGGAGATTTATGCCAAGTTCGTGTCTCAGAAAATCAGCAAAACCCGCTGGCGCCCGGTACCCCCGGGGAGCCTGCAGACAGCGGAGACCTTCGCTACGGGTTCTTGGGACAATGAGGAAAATTATGTTTCGTTGTGGTCGATTGGAGATTTTGGGAACTTGGACTCAGATGGTGGGTTTGAAGGAGATCATCAGTTACTATGTGATATCAAACACCATGGTGATGTCATGGATTTACAATTTTTTGATCAGGAAAGAATTGTAGCTGCTTCATCAACAGGATGCGTAACAGTTTTCCTTCACCATCCAAATAACCAGACTCTGTCTGTCAGCCAGCAGTGGACAAGAGCTCACTACCACTCAGGACCAGGCAGTCTTTCCTGTAGCGGCGCACCTTGCACAGGTGTTGTGTGCAATAACCCAGAAATTGTCACGGTTGGAGAAGATGGCCGTATAAATCTCTTTCGAGCTGATCACAAGGAAGCTGTGAGAACTATAGATAATGCAGATAGCAGTACGCTCCATGCTGTAACCTTTCTTCGAACTCCTGAGATTCTTACAGTAAATTCCATTGGACAGCTAAAAATATGGGATTTTAGACAACAAGGAAATGAGCCCTCTCAGATATTATCACTGACCGGTGACCGAGCACCACTCCACTGTGTTGACAGACACCCCAACCAGCAGCATGTCGTGGCTACTGGTGGCCAGGACGGAATGTTGAGTATTTGGGATGTTAGACAAGGTACTATGCCTGTGTCTCTGCTGAAGGCTCATGAAGCTGAAATGTGGGAAGTTCATTTTCACCCATCCAACCCAGATCATCTATTTACTTGTTCTGAAGATGGCTCCCTTTGGCATTGGGATGCCTCAACAGACGTACCTGAAAAGTCATCACTTTTTCACCAAGGAGGAAGAAGTAGTACTTTTTTGTTTCATAGCATTAGTAACCAGGCTAATGCTCACCAGTCTATTATAAGCTCCTGGCTCAGCACCGATCCTGCAAAAGACCGTATTGAAATCACAAGCTTGCTTCCCAGTAGGACTTTGTCTGTCAACAGTTTGGATGTCTTAGGTCCTTGTCTTGTTTGTGGGACTGATGCCGAAGCAATTTATGTTACTAGACAACTTTTTTCATAGAAATACTGTAATTTTATAATTTCAGATAAAAATATAACCTTCAAAGTCCAACTTCTATGCAAATTTTTATTATTGAAAGATGTGAAATTTGCAGGGGAGCATCTGTAAAGCATTGATAATGTCAGTGCCTAGATTTGGCTTTTTTTAGTTGGACATTGCCGTAACAGTTTAGAATCTGGTAGATTGCAAAAGAATTCAAGGTGTGGAAACATATCAGAGGGATCCTGGTGCTGATGAATGTACTACCAAACTGTTCTGGTCAGCTCATGGAGCCAAGTCCTCATTTCTGGTTTTTTGGGACTTAATACTGTCAAACCATCAGTGGGTTTCTATTATTTCTATCACAGTATTTGGGGTGTATGCCCTCTCTAGTGGCATTAGCCAGTGTTAGTTTCTTCTTTTAATTGCAAGTTTTTTCATCAACCTTTTCACAACCTTTTATTTTCTTAGTAATCTTAATAAACCTTTTCAAAATTGAACAAAATGACATTTTTGCAATATAGAGCAAAAATGACAAATCTTTTTGTAATGTTCAAATTCTTTTCAGGGGAAAATCTTTTGACAGATCCCTTTATTAGAATATGTTTGAACAGAACTATGCCAACTACTCAGACCCAACTTTCTTTTTCTTGATAAGAAAAATACATTTTTCCTATGGACTTTTGCCTTTATTTAGTTTTGCAACATAGTGAAAATTGCCAAACTGGACATTGTGCAATAAGATAGAATTTTACATTAATGAGTGAACTGACTTTGAAACTAACATTGATAGGTAACATGTATGAGACTAATAAGATGATGTGGTAACAGTGAAGATTGCCATCTGTATGCCTACCTGAAATGTTAATGATGACTTGACATGTAGTGTGTTAAGACAATTTATGACATTGTCTTTCCAAAGTTTGTTAGATAAAATGTGTTACTGAGCTAACGAAGACCTTTATGACAAATCACTGCTATTACAAAATTGAAATATGTGTTTATTTCATAATTCCAATAACAGTAATTATGGTAAATTTTTGCTTTTCTATCCTAATAAATATTTTCAATATTTTATGCACTTCAAAAAAAAAAAAAAAAAAAAAGAAAATGAAAATATCAATAAAGCTCGTGGGGGACTACTATGCTTTGTTGTTTTCATAACCATGAATACATTTTTCAGGATGGAGATAACAATTTGGTCCCATTAGATAAATTACCCTTTGGAAGAAAAGACATAGAAATATATTTTTTGTGCGTGTGTGCTGAGGTGTGACGCTACCCAGCATGCACACTTTTCACTTCCACTCAGGGAATACTTTGACAATGGCAGTATTTGATCTGGAAAGCCTCCCCTCAGAGCCTTGACCCCGTGAGCCAGCCCAAATGTAATGATGCACTTTGGGGGCGGCTGTGGGATTTGAATAGGGAGAGCCGGGTCCCTCGGTCTACGGGGGTTCTCCTTTGTCATTGCCGAACCTAACCTTTGAGATACTCATTACTTTTTTTTTTCTTGTTAAGCAAAGGATTATTTTATTTCTATTTTTTTATTTAAATTTTATTTTTATATTCCCCATACAATTACAACCCCCTTATTTTGACCCTAATCCCTCCTCTCCCCGCCTCCCACCCCCCATAGAGTGTCTCTGGTTCATAGTTGTTTGTTGATTTTGATTTTCACTTTCTTATAGTTATTCATTTTCCTGGTCCCTTATTTAAGTTTTCTAGATTCCTGCTATGAGTGAGACCATCCGGTATTTTTCTTTTTCTTTCTGGCTTATTTCGCTGAGCATGATCCCTTCCAGCGCCATCCGTGTTGCTGCAAATTGCATGTGTTTATCTTTTTTGAATGCTGAGTAATATTCCATGGTGTATATGGACCACATCTTCTTGATCCAGTCATCTATTTTTGGGCATTTGGGTTGTTTCCAAAGCTTAGCTATTGTAAACAGTGCTGCTATCAACATAGGGGTGCAGGTGTTCTTTGGAATTGATGTTTCTGTGTCCTTTGGGTAAATACCTAGGAGTGGAATTGCTGGATCATATGGAAGCTCTATGTTTAGTAGGTCCAGAAACCTCCACACAGCTCTCCACAGTGGTTGGACCAGTTTGCACTCCCACCAACAGTGCAGAAGAGTTCCTTTTTCTCCACACCCTCGCCAACATTTGTTGTTGCTAGTTTTTTAATATGTGCCAGTCTCACTGGTGTAAGATGGTATCTCATGGTAGTTTTGATTTGCATTTCCCTGATGACAAGTGATGTTGAACATTTTTTCATATGCCTGTTGGCCATTTGCATTTCCTCTTCAGAGAAGTTTCTTTTTAGCTCTTCTGCCCATTTTTTGACTGGATTATTTTCTTTGTTGTTGTTGAGTCTCATCAGCTCTTTGCAGATTTTTGTGATCAGTCCTTTATCATTAGTGTTGGGTGCAAAAATGTTCTCCAAGTTGGTGGGGTTTCTCTTTGTTTTTGTTATTGTCTCTTTTGCTGTGCAGAAGCTCTTTAATTTGATGTAGTCCCAGCTGTTTATCTTCGCCTTCACTATCACTGCTTTGGGTGATGTGTCTGTAAAGATGTCTTTGATGTGCAAATCACGTAGTGTTTCGCCTATATTTCCTTCTATATATTTTATGGTTTCAGGTCTTATGTCTAATTCTTTAATCCATTTTGAGTTGATTTTTGTGTATGGTGTGAGGTAGTGGTCAAGCTTCATTCTTTTGCATGTAGCGACCCAGTTTTCCCAGCACCATTTATTGAACAAACTTTCTTTGCTCCAATGCATAGTCTTTGCTCCTTTGTCAAAGATTAGTTGACCATAAATCTGTGGGTTTATTTCTGGATTTTCTATTCGATTCCATTGGTCTGTATGTCTGTTCTTGTTCCAATACCATGCAGTTTTGATGATTATGGCTTTGTAGTATATTTTGAAGTCTGGGAGTGTGATGCCTCCATTCCCTTCTTTTTTTTTCAGGAGAGCTTTGGCTATTCGGGGTTTTTTGTGATTCCATATGAATTTCATCAATAATTGTTCTATTTCTTTGAAGAATGACATTGAAATTTTGATTGGAATAGCATTGAATCTGTATATTTTTTGGAAGGATGGCCATTTTAATAATGTTTATTCTTCCAATCCATGAGCAGGGGATATCTCTCCATTTCTTTGTGTCTTCTTCTATTTCTTTTAACAGTGTTTTATAGTTTTCTTTGTATAGGTCCTTTACCTCTTTTGTTAGATTTATTCCCAAATATTTGATTTTTTTGTTTCAATAACGAAAGGGATGGTTTTTTTTGATTTCTTCTTCTTCAGATTTATTGTTTGTGTATAGGAAGGCTACTGACTTTTGCGTGTTGATTTTGTATTCTGCCACTTTACTGAACTGATTGATGAGTTGAATTAGCTTTTCTGTGGAGTTTTTGGGGTTCTCTATGTATAATATCATATCGTCTGCAAATAGTGATAGTTTGACTTCTTCTTTACCTATTTGGATTCCTTGGATGTCTTTCTCTTGTCTTATTGCCCTGGCTAGGACTTCCAGTATTATATTGAAAAGCAGTGGTGAGAGTGGACATCCTTGTCTTGTTCCAGATCTTAATGGAATTGCTTTCAGCTTTTCACCATTGAGAATGATACTGGCTGTTGGCTTGTCATAGATGGCCTTTATGATGTTAAGGTATGTTCCTTGTATCCCAAGAATTTCAAGGGCTTTTATCATGAATGGGTGTTGCACTTTGTCGAAAGCTTTCTCAGCATCTATTGATATTATCATATGGTTTTTATATTTCTTTTTGTTGATGTGTTGGATAACGTTGATTGATTTTCGGATGTTAAACCATCCTTGTGTTCCTGGAATGAATCCTACTTGGTCGTGGTGAATTATCTTATGGATACATTGTTGGATTCTGATAGCTAAAATTTTATTGAGGATTTTTGCATCAGTGTTCATTAGGGAGATTGGCCTGTAGTTTTCCTTTTTTGTGTTGTCCTTGTTCGGTTTTGGTATTAGTGTAATGTTGGCTTCATAGAACGTGTTTGGTATTGTCCCTTCCTTCTCAATTTTTTGGAAGAGTTTGTGAAGGATAGGCACTAATTCGTCTCTGAATGTTTGGTAGAATTCATTTGTAAATCCATCAGGTCCTGGGCTTTTGTTTTTGGGGAGGTTTTTGATTACCATTTCAATTTCGCTAATTGTAATTGGTCTGTTTAGGTGTTCTATTTCTTCTTTATCTAGCTTTGGGTGATTGTAGAGTTGTAGGAATTTGTCCATCTCCTCTAGATTGTTGAACTTGTTTCCATATAACTGTTCATAGTAGTTACTGATTATTCTTTTGATTTCTGCTGTGTCCGTTGTGATTTCTCCTCTTTCATTGATGATCCTGTTTATTTGTGCTTTCTCCCTTTTTTCCTTTGTGAGCCTGGCTAGGGGTTTGTCTATTTTATTGATTTTTTCGAAGAACCAGCTCTTGGTTTCATTGATCTTTTGGATTGTATTTTTAGTTTCATTTTCATTTATTTCTGCTTTGGTTTTTATTATTTCTTTTCTTCTACTGGTTTTGGGTTTTTTTTGTTGTTCTTTTTCTAGATCTTTGAGCTTCGAGATTAGGTTGTTTCTTTGAGTTCTTTCTTGTTTCTTGATGTGAGCTTCTATTGCTATATATTTTCCTCTTATTACTGCTTTTGCTGCATCCCATACATTTAGGATATTGGTGTCCTCCTTGTCATTCAATTCAAAGAATTTTTTAATTTCTTCTTTGATCTCCTCATTAGTCCAGTGGTCTTCCAGTAGTGTGGTTTTTAATCTCCATGAGGTAGGAAAGTTCCTTGCCTTCTTTTTATGGTTTATTTCTAGTTTGATGCCTTCATGGTCAGAAAAGATGGTTGGTATGATTTCAATCTTGGTGTATCTGTTGATGTTTGTCTTGTGCCCCAGTATGTGATCGATCCTGGAGAATGATCCGTGTGCGCTTGAGAAAAATGTGTACTCCGTTTTTTTGGGGTTTAGTGTTCTATAGATGTCTGTTAAGCCCAAATGCTCTAGGTCCTTGTTTAGGGCTTTAGTTTCTTTACTTATTTTTTGTCTTGTTGATCTATCCATTGTTGATAGTGGTGTGTTGAAGTCTCCCACTACGTTTGTGTTTTCTCTGATGTCTGTTTTCAGAGAGGACAACAGTTGTCTGATATATTTTGGTGCTCCTTCGTTTGGTGAGATACTCATTACTTTTTTTTTTTTTTTTTTTTTTTTTTTTTTTTTTGTTTGTTTTTTTTTGTTTTTTTTTTTAAAATATTAAATTTTATTTTTATATTCCCCCATACAATTGCAAACGCCCCATTCTGACCCCAATCCTTCCCCTCCCGCCCCCCACCCCCCCAAAAAGTGTCTCTGGTTCATAGTTTTTTGTTGATTTTGATTTTCACTTTCTTATATTCATTTTCCTGGTCCCTTATTTAAGTTTTCTAGATTCCTGCTATGAGTGAGACCATCCGGTATTTTTCTTTTTCTTTCTGGCTTATTTCGCTGAGCATGATCCCTTCCAGCGCCATCCATGTTGCTGCAAATTGCATGTGTTTATCTTTTTTGAATGCTGAGTAATATTCCATGGTATATATGTACCACATCTTCTTGATCCAGTCATCTATTTTTGGGCATTTGGGTTGTTTCCAAAGCTTAGCTATTGTAAACAGTGCTGCTATAAACATAGGAGTGCAGGTGCTCTTTGGAATTGATGTTTCTGTGTCCTTTGGGTAAATACCTAGGAGTGGAATTGCTGGATCATATGGAAGCTCTATGTTTAGTAGGTCCAGAAATCTCCACACAGCTCTCCATAGTGGTTGGACCAGTTTGCACTCCCACCAACAGTGCACAAGAGTTCCTTTTTCTCCACATCCTCGCCAACATTTGTTGTTGCTAGTTTTTTTAATATGTGCCATTCTCACTGGTGTGAGATGGTATCTCATGGTAGTTTTGATTTGCATTTCCCTGATTACAAGTGATGTTGAACATTTTTTCATATGTCTGTGGCCATTTTCATTTCCTCTTCAGAGAAGTTTCTTTTTAGCTCTTCTGCCCATTTTTTGA